TTATTGGAAGCATTATCAAGGTTGAAGAGTCCTAATTTGAACCTCTTCTTTAAAATGATAGGAAGTAGTTCTGCTTTTGCAAGACAGTAAACTAGATGTTCTAATGGGCTTTTTATAATTCTAATTTCTATTATCATTAACAAACATATTATAGTCTGACTTCTTGTAATCCCAATGGGACCTTCTCAAAAGCGAGGAATCAGGAATAGATGCTTAGATACCATAGTTCTGGGTGAGGTATAAAAGCTTTAATAGCTAAAACTCAGTATGTTGCCTATTATCCTTTGATTAAAATTGGCTCAAGGAACATAATACAATATAACATTGTCTTTAATAAACCCAACCTGAATATAATTCCAAGTAAGATTATGTGGCATTGTTCTGTCTTACTGAAGTCAAAGTATAGATATTGAGCTCTCTTCATCCAAACACTGATATTTGATCAAAAGAAGTTACCAGGTATATTTATTCCTTATCTGTTTAGATTCTTACCCAGGTGTCTACACATCCATTAATGCATTTGAATAAGCTCCAGTACAGTTCACACCAGAGTTTTTTGCTCCCAGGCACCACGTTTAGATGTGTGCCTGGGACCACAGCACATTGAATGGGGTCAGAACAACCCTGGCTGGCAGGAGGCCTGAGGGGTCAGCCTGCCAGCCAGGGGCTGCTCCAACATGGCTCAGCATGCTACAGAGGGGCTGGCTGGGGCATGAGGGTGCACCAGCATGGGGATAGCCAGCAAACAGCCCCCTCAGAAAAGCACGCTCATGCCCCAGCCAGCACTTTCAGTGTCTACATGTGCGTTACGGTGCACTGAATAACGCCACTTTATTATTTACAAGAACTAACCTATGGTGGCATTTATTAGTTTACTGTGGCCTAACAGGGCCGCACTTGTAGATGTTGAGACATTTACTGCTGAGCTAATTAGGCAACTGCGCAGTAAACATCTTGTATAGACGCACCTATTGTCACTTCTATTTTTTCTTTCTAAAATGAGATTTAAACCCTCAGTCTCAGAAAAGATTGAAACATGAAGTTGTTACTTAGTCCTGTTAGCTCATCTGACTGTCCAGATCTATGACCTTTATTATTTTCAGTTTCTTATCCCATTACCATTTTTATTATCCCATGCACAAGATGGATAAAATCATTAAAACTGAGGTTTAAGTTATAAACCTGTTTTAACATATTTATTATTTTAATTTACTTTTTGAATTAAAACCAGAAAATTATACATTCCTACTTTTACTTTGTTCTCATTTTATAGTTTTAATTTGATAAAGTGGATGTTGCTAGAAGGGGTTGTTTTGATTTTGCACAATTAGATTTTAGATAGATTAGATAGATTTTATTCAAACAGTTCTGCTAAGAAGTTTCATACTTAAAATACATGTACTGTGGAAGACAAGTCCAGAGCCTCATTAACATTCTTAATTTAAACCAACATAAACTCAAGCACAAAATTGACAAGCAAATGGCATGTGCTATATTTGCAGTCAATACCAATTTCTAATTTATTAAACATTTACAAATTGAAAAGGGAGAAATTATTTGACTAGGTTATAGTCCTCCTAGGACTATAGGAGGACTAGGAGTTTTCAGTGCAAAATCATCCTTGGAGGTTTTCAAGACTCAGCTAGACAAAGCTTTGCCTGAGATGGTCCTGCTTTGAGCAGGGGGTTGGACTAGATGACCTCCTGAAGTCCCTTCCAACCCTAACTTTCTATGATGCTATAAATCAATAGGATTGTTGCTTTTAAGGCACTTACATGCTTTTAAAAATCCTATCATCATATATCCAAATAGTAGCGTAATTGGGGTCAGGGGCAAGTGGGGCAGGAGGCCTGGGTGCTGCCTTTCTGGGGGATGTAAAAATAGATACTGCTGCAGCAGTGTTTGACTGTGCCACTGCCATCAGTACCTCAGCAGCTGTAGCACATCTAACGGTTCTTGATCCCAGCAATTGTGTTTCTGCCATGTGATATGAAGAGGCAGGAGGTATAATTGTTGGGTTCGGGCATCTCATCCCAGTTGTGTCGCTGCCAGCAGGGATCCCAGGACTTGGGTTTGCAGCAGGGCACAGTGTAGGGTGGAGAAAGCTGCCTTCCACTTCAAGCTCCCTGCTGACCTGGCCACACTTCCCCTGCAGGTGGGGGCAGAAGTAGGGGGCACAACCCTGTGTGCTGCCTGTGCTGCTCCAGCAGCAGGGCTTCCATCCTCCCAGCCGGATGCTGGGAGCAGCCCAGGCTCTGTGGCTATCAGCAGCTACCCAGAACCTGGGCTGGCTGCAGCCAGGAGGCTGCAAACAGCTGCTGCCTTTCTGTCTTGGCCCCAGCTGTCTCCCAGTCCTGGGCTCCAGGAAGGCAGCAGGTGCCAGCACTGCGCCCATTGGGGCTGGGACCAGGGCAGGGAGGCAGAGCTGTTTGCAGGAAGCAGCTGCAGCTGGCCCAGGATCTGGGGTAGCTGCTGCCAGCCATGGTGCCTGGGCTGCTTACAGCAGGGCTTGCAGCCTCCCAGCCTCCTGCTGGGAGCAGCCGGGCTCCCGGCTGGCCGCAGCTGCCAAGAGCCCAGGCTAGTGGTGGTGTGCCGAGGAAAATAGCCTCGCGTGCCATGCTTGACACGCATGCTGGGGGTTGCCAACCCCTGTTCTAGTAACTGAGGATTTCCTTTACATATCAGAATTCTTGACTAGCAAAAAGCCAAAATAGTCCCGAGTGTCTTGAAGATGTGCTTGGCAGATTGGTAGAAGTGGTAGGAGAAGATATAGAAGGGGCAAGCTGTGCTCCAGTTATCGTGGTTTTTATAAGCAGGCACATTCAAGAGCAGCTCTAATGACTTTCTGACTTGTGCCTCAACCTCTTGCTGTGACAGTTTCACAAAGGTCATATAAATTCACCTTTGCCTCCCAACTCAGATACACCAATGTACCTGAGGTTTTTTGAGCTTTTATCCTTTTTCCTGCAGTCCCTTTTATATCCCCTTAGTTCTCTTTCTCTTTCTTGCTTTTTATTTTATTCCTCCCCTATGCCTTTTCTTTTTCGATTCTCTAGAACCTACTTCCATTCCCACCAAGTCATTGGGAGTTTACTTTTTGACTTTCATGGAAGTAACATCAATCCCTTTGTAGTTATTTTATAAAAATACGAAGTCTAATTTGTTAGGCTTCATATTGGACAGATTCCCATTGAACTCAGATTTTGCTTAAAAACTTCAGGGTTGGACTGAACAACAATAGTGACAGTGGACCACTTCTAATGGATTCTATAATTGAAAACTGGCACAAGGTAAAGTTTTCATACATGTTAATTCATCTTTGATACATAAGAGCAACTTCTAGGTCAAAAAAGGCCTAAAATGTTCCTGCTGGCATGGTTAGAGAGAAGTTTCCTGGTGGAACAGCTAGCTGGCTGTGATCAAGTTGGGAAGAATAGCAGGGATCTGGCAAATGTAGCTTCCTTTATTTTAGGTATTATGTATCACTGACTCACAATCAACTGATTGTCCCATTTGAGTCACCCAATCTCTGAAACACCTTTATCTTTCTGCAAGTGGTTTTTTTTTTTTTTTTTTTTTTTTTTTTTACTGTTTTCAGGCCAAATGAAAAGTGAAGCCACCAGTGGAGTACAGCTGCCCTAAAATAAAATGTATGAAAAGGGAAATTTTCAATAACCTACTTTAGGAAGCTTCCAGAATTTATATAGGTTTTGTGTAATTTCACATGTGACTTTTTATTTAAGTTTACATGTTTGCAAATATGCATTTATTAAAAAATTGTTGAATACTGTGCAAATCTACTTCTGGTGAAAGGCATTAGGTGAATATCCAGGTGAATGAAGATCTCTGTTTTATCTAAAAAGTTGCAACATCGTACACCAGCTGTTCTGTTGTCTTGCTCCAACCTAGGTAGCATGAAAAGGATGATTTTCTTTAAGGACTGGAGATGGCTCAAGCTCTGCACTTCATACAGTTTTTGGCCTCACTTCTGATTTTTCCAGTTAGCGCAGAGCATGATGTGAATTTGCGTCAAGAGAGCTCAGACCTCTCATTCCTCATGTAATGACTGTCAATTCTGTTGAGCTAGTTTAGACTTAGACACATTGTATACCTAGGGTTGCCAACTCACAATGTTATCACAAGTCTAATGATATCATTTGTCATACTTAAAGCCCTATCTCTTCAAGTTACGTAACTACAGAAAATTCTGAATGTTTTTTAAGGGTTGCCCTCAGGAATAGGGGGGAAAAAAAACTGGATTATACAGGCAGAGTGAACTTTATAGGCTCAGAAACCAGAGGGCTAATAAAAAAAATCTTGTTTAAAATTGATAAATCTCTAACCAGCGTTATGATTTTCAAACTCTTAGGATTAGTGATATTTTAATAATATTTTTTTCATTTTTATTTCCATAGTTACTTAAAGCCTCTGTTGTAGATCAGTACCACAGTATGTTCAGTGTTCTAAAAGCTGTGAAATAATGATAAGGGACCTTGCCATGTAAGTATAAAACGAGTGAAAATATATGGGTGCGGACAGAAAGAAGAGGATAAAGGAACAGTGGGACAAATGGTCAAGATGATAACCAGGGTCTTAGCATGTATGTAGCCTCACCTTGGTCAAGATGGTTGAAGGCGTGTGTCATGGTGAAGGAGAGTTTTAACAAGGGATTTGAAAGGAGAATAAAGAGCTAGTTTTATAGAAGTTCATATTAAGCACCTCATTGTCTAAGAGGTCCTACACAGCAAAAAGCATAAAGATACTTGTTTGAGTCTTTAACAGGAAAGCGATGGTGGTTTGGCCTGATGGAATTGAGAGTTGACCTGACCAAACTTAATGAGAGAAGATAGGATCTGAAGGCGCAGAAGAGGAGAGTAGAGGAATGCATAGAAATGGTGAAATGATCAAAGGTGACCTTTGGAGCAGGATTCTGGACTGACATGAGGTTGCATTTACCAAAACTGAAGAAAAAGATCTTGCAGTAGTTGATACATGAGAGGATGAATGTGGATGAGAGTTTTAGGTAAGTAGATGGATGGGGAAGCCCATCCCTTAGAAGGGTGATGCAAAAAGAATAGAAAGAAAAATGCCTACTTAACCTAGGTGGGAGGAGATGGAGAGAGAAGTGGACGTGTAGAGGTGATGACCAGGTTATGAGCCTGAGTATAAGGCAGAGTAGAAGTATCGAAAAGGAAGGTAGTGAGGTATAGAGAGCTGTGTTTTATTCATGTTGAGCTTGAGGTAATGACTAAACTTCCACTAGAAGGCCAAGGTTATAGTTTAGACCGAATGAGACAGTAGTAGCTTTTTCCTTTGTAGTACCTCCTACATAGATATATTAACTTTTGCCAACAATAGTGAAACTAAGTGGGAATGACCAGGGCATCGGCCCCAGGTGCCGAGTTAATGTCAGTGCAAATATACTAACTGCCACTGCTCTTTTCCCATCTGCTGTGCTGTGGCCAGAAACCTGACAGTGGCCACGGCCCCACATACTACTACCTGGGGCACAGAGCTGCCCAGTTCCTCCTCTGCTTGGCAAAAGAGCAAGGTGTACAATTCCACCTCTTGTGTCTAAATGCAACTTATCTGGAGTCTATGGAGTGTTTCTTGAAAGAGGGCTCTTTGTTTTTTATGTGTGACATTTTACCAGTTATGTGGACAGGTCTGAATTTGCATTCCTGGGCTAATTATTGTGTTGGGTGATATCAAAATAAAAATAATAAAAAGTGCAAATAAAATTCTCAGTGATTTTTGAAATGGTATGCATGGCATGGCTCTATGTATGTGTGTATAAGGGGCAGAGGGTGTGCGTGCTGCATGCATGCATGGAGAAGGCCAGGTACTGCATCTTCTTAAGAGTCTTTTCACACTGTGCTGGCAAGCTATACTTTGAATTTCTTAAAGCTATATGAGAGAGGAATTTTTTCCTAATAACATGTGCCTGCAAAAGAACACAGAAATATTTTTATCACAGCAAATTAGATGTTTAAATTTATAAGATTAAGTAATTTCAGTTGAGCATAAAAGATGTGAAAATACAATCTTCAGTGCCATCTGCTGGCCAACTGCAGTGACTAAAAGATACTGATCCCATAATTCTTCACATTCCCAAAAAAGTTACCCCACAAAAAATTATTGTTCATTATCATTTTTGTCAATCTTTAATATTTGTTATGTGTGTGAACATTTAAACATGAGATCTAGAGTTTAAATGTATTTAGAGTTTAAATATATTTAGAGTTAACAGGTGAATTTAACAAAAGACAACACTCTAAGATTATAATAATAATGTTAATGAAGAAAGATTTTTAAAAACCTGATATTTTACCAGCACAGACCAGAAATAGGTAATAAGAGATGCATCTTCTGGTGGTGATATGTCTCTATTTCAGTCAGTCAGTGGAAAAGTGTATTTCTATGCAGGTCTATCAGTATGAATATCTTTTCTACTAGTGACATAATTTAGCTGTCTATTTATGAAAGGAAAACTTATCTTTAAAAATTAGGACTAGGTCCTATTACTATTATTTATGCTGAAACTTGTAATCATCTGATTGGTCCTTGGAGGTTCCTGAGTGTTTTTGTAAGAACTACCTACATGAATAAAGGATTCCAGAGTTAGGACCCTTTTATGCGGATAGTTTCTTTTAATTAAAGCAATATACAGTGTTGGGACAAAAAAAATCTTCACATTCAAATGAATATGTGAGTGCTTATAGTATAATTCTAATAGGAGATTTTTTTTTGTTCCAAAACACAGGGGGAAAAAATCCCAAACAAACAACAAACCCCAACTTCCCCACAGCCCAGATGTTTTTTTAAAATGAAATAGACAAAATGATATATTTGTTAGTGAATGAAACGAAATGAAACAAACAACTACATATTACTTGATCAATGCTTCAAAAATAGTGTTGCTGTAAGAACTAATCATTTTCATTACCTGACTTCTGTGTGCCTACTTTTCTCCTGTTATATTTATATATATATATTGCATTTAGTTCCCCACAAAGACTGATTTCCATCCAAGCGGAAGGGTCCTTGCTGATTACTGAGCATATTTTCCAGGGAGGGAGGAGCAGAAGAGCTATTTTTACCATTCAGTTGAGCTACCTCTGCTGAGTAAAATTCTGACCCCACCACAATTATTAGGAATTCTACCATTGACTTACATCAGGGGTGGGCAATTATTTCAGCTGGAGGGCTGCTTAATGAGTTTTGGTGAGCTGTGCAGGGCCACAAGGGTAGTCCCAGCCCTTGACAGGTGCCCTACCTGCTGGTTGCAATCTAGGGGTGGAAGTCCTATCCCTAACCACTGACCTTTGCAACTGGAATTCCTTCCCCTTCCCCCTGGAAGTACTCCTTTTAGGGAGAGGAGTTACCATTTGAAGTAGAAAAAACCCCCAAATCGTATATTAAAAGTCAAACATATACTAAAAGTTGAAACAAAAATGAAACATTTCTACTGCACAGGCAATTATTTTCAACCTTGCCTTAAAAATATTCTAAACTTCCCCAAACTTGGTTATTTTTCCACTAAGTTTAGACTCTGTATCATCAGTAGTATACCTCTGAAACATATTTTTACAGTAGGAACAGTGGGCCACATGCAGCTTGATCATGTAGGGCGCATCTACACATGAAATTAATGCACCTAAATAAACTCCAGCATTAATTAGTCCTGGGTGCCAGACTTACACATGTGCCGGGGACCACATCATGTGGAGCCAGGTCAGAGCAGCCCCAGCTGGCAGGGACTTGGGGGGGGGGGGGGGGGGGGGGTACAGCCTGCCAGCCAGCCCAGGGCTGCCCTAACTTGGATCAATGTACTGTGGAGGGGCTGGCTGGGGCATGATGGTACTTCAGTGTGTGACTAGCCAGCAGGCAGCCCCCACACTGAAGCACCTTTGTACTTTAGTCAGCTCTGTCGGCTTTTACACGTGTTGTAGCGCACTGAATAACACCACTGCAGGATAGAACTTGTGTTTATAGAGTGTAGGTGCTGAAACTTTACTACGGAACTAATTAGTCAGCTCTGCAGTAAACATCTTGTGTAGATACGCCCATAGGCACCTAAATAAGCCTTAGGTGCCTAAGTTGGAAAGAGCAGCCCAGATTGTTTCATCCCCTCAAGCCACAAGATTCAGCAGTTACTACTTGCAATCTGAACTGCAAAGTTCTCCACAGGACTCTGCTTGAACTTGTGAGCATATACAAAAATGCCCCAATTTTTGGTCACTTCTGTCTCTAATTCATGCCTTAGCTCTTTTGTGACGCACATTCATGCTGGGGATGTTGAGCCCCAGCTCAAGTCTGGGATCGTGCCCGGTATGCAAAAGCCAATAAAGATACCAGGGGTGAAAGTATAAAGATTTATTGCTACCAATACAAGGTGCAAGCGGAATAATTTCACGTAACAAGCACACAGATCCTTAATTCTAAGCATCTTTTATACAGGAGTATTGGACCTTCATAAGCATTCTTGTTTGCTAATTGGTTATAAGGGAGTGACACAAGGAGTTCTTTACTGAGCATGTCTCTATACCTGTGTTTTAACTATGTATCTCATTTCCATACATGTATGTTTCATTAGCATACTTTCTCCCCACCTAGGGGTGTGAATCTTAATATTTAAATCAGTTCTTTGCCCTAGTCCACTAATTCTGTTTTTGTTTTCAAGCCTCCTTTATCTAAGACTGTCTTCTCCTTATCATTGCAGTTGGGCATTAGTTACAGAACAGAGACTTTTGCTTGGGCTATGTGTAGTGGTTTCTAGGTCAAACCTGACAGGGAGACACTAGGTGAGGTACCCAAGTCCTAGAGGTTTGTGAGGCATATTCTGAGCAGACATAACTCATACTGATATCATTGAGTTCAGGCAAAATTTGGTAGCGGTGTGCATGCCTTTTTGCAAAATAGCAAAAGAGAAGTTTTAGCAGACTTTTTCCTCCACTGCCCCACTGGTAGGAAGAAGAGGTAGGTTCCAGCTCATGCTTCCAGAGTGATTTCTGATACTGATTTTTGATACTTATCCAAGGAGGCTGACAGGCTTAATGGTGTGAAAGGATCTGATCTCTAATCCCAACAGTCTTCCTTCCTGTTGTGACGCACGTGCAGGGCAGGAGGTGCAATTGTTGGGATCAAGCACCTGATCCCAATCACACCACTGCCTGCAGGGATCCCAGGCATGAGTTTGCAACTGCTGGACTGGGGGAGTCAATAGACTCTCCCTGCCTGGCAGCTGCAAACTCATGGGTTACTCCACCAAGACCCCTAGATTGGGGATTCTCTCCCTGATGCTGTGGTTCCTGTGAATGTGCTGTGCTACAGGCACAGCTTTTTGACATCCCAGAGTATAGGGATTCCAGAATCATGTCACAAATGTACCATATTAATTACACTATGAACATAATGTGCCAGGAGCCCAATTACTCTGTCATATGTAATGTTTAAAGAATCCTGGGAACAAGGACAAGAATCCAGGTCTCTCCAATCCCAGGGGAGTCTCTAATGATTCAGCCAGAGAATCAGACTGCTTCTTGATTGTTCTTTTCCTTTTATTTCAGATAAAAATGTCAAAACTAAACACATTTCTTTCTTTAAAAAGTATTTGGTTTTCTCACCAATGGCACAAATTGGACAATCTTTATACAGAATGAAGGTCTTTATCTGATCTTGATCTGATATTTTGATGTCTAACTCCTAAGACTCTTAGAAGGTTAAGAGGACAGTAGAAAACCCCAACTGCTTCATGTATTCATACATTTTATCAACAGGTTTAATAGATTCATAGATTGTAAGGCCGGAATGGACCTCGGAAGATCATCGGGTCCAGCCCCCTGCACCAAGCAGGAAACATAACTGGGGGTAAGGTGACCCCAGCAAGGTGTTTCTCTTATGGTATATTTTCTAGTGTTTCCTCAGCTTATTAAAAACTCATTATTACATAAATATGCACCAGACTGTTTTAAATTCCATAATTATTTTTATTATTTTATTTTTAGAAATGAGGATATTTCT